GTGCTTATGGTTTAATTGCTTCCAAAGTTTATTTGTACAAGGTAATAGACGTTTTACCACTAACTTCTTTGATACCAAACGCATGTGCATACCAAATACAAGCTTTTAAAGAGAGTCAGATGTAAACAATTAATTTTTCCATTTAAATTACTAATTAACTATTAATAGACTAATTCAAATTTCTATAACATACCTTTTACAGCATTTTTTTTACATATGTGAATAAAGCAAATGCAGATCTGTTTTTTGAAAATAGTATAATAGAAATTCTTGAAATTGTATTACAATGAATAATCATTCCCCTCCCCTTTTTTTAGTGTTTGGTTTTTTTTTTAAACACGTTTGGTTTTTTTTTTGAAACATGTTTGTTTTTTTTTTCTTTTTTTTTGAAACATGTTTAATAAAAAGAAATTTTATTAATAGTTAATAAATAATCAATATATAAATGACAAGAAACATATATAAATGTTCTGTAATTCCCTCAAGTAAAAAATTTAAGTAAAAATGTTCAATTGATCATTTTTATTGCTTAATATACATCTGCTGCTTTTTCTCATCTCATCGTGAGATATATAATCTCAAAATATATCGAGCAGTTTATCCCATTAATATGGATATTTTATCCTTAACTGAAAATGGCGAATTTCACACATTATACCTATTATCGTATATCTTAGTAGATAGTTTAAATTTTCATTTAATAGATGGAGTTTTCAGTTTTATATATATTTTAAATATAGTGAAACAAAAGGACAAATCTTCAATACTGGAGAGTCATTCCTACAGATTTACCCTATCTACCACCAAAAAAATTAGATAATATACCAATTAATTATAACACTAAATAATATGATTATGACATTAAGTAATATAATTATGACATTAAAATAATACAATAATTATGACATTAAATAATATGATTACAAATAAGAACAATAAATCATGGACTGAGATAAATTATTTACCAGTTGGGATTTTTATCAACATATAGTTTCTCATCCAACAAATAATACAGACATTGATTTGAGAATTTTATATTATGGGGATTTCTTGTGATTTATGCAAATACAACTTCTAGTGATTTTTATCTTTTGGATGATATGCAATTATGGGATCTTTTGGGCCAAAATTCTTCATTTCAGTTCGAATGAATAGTACTATTTTTGGAGTAAAGGAACAGAATAAAAACAACCAAAGATTAAATAATTAGAGTAAGCTTTTAATTTCTTTTCTTTCTTTACATACATATATATATATATTTATTTAATATTTTTTTTTTTATCTGTAGATACTGAATATAATTGTCCCATAATTGAAACAACAAAGCCAGCTAGCTAGCTGCTATCAATGAAGTTATTGATCTTTCAATCTCCAATTTTTGAAAGCACATTCAACCAACAGAATTCTACCTACTATTGAAAATAATTTTGTCATCTCTCGAGAGAGATGAACCTTTAATGGGAATTAAAGAGAATATTAGGATGCTTTCAACAAGTAATATACATATTTTTTTTTTGATTTTTTAATGATCGAATAGAAAATTTATTTTGTTACTATATTTAGAACCATTTAAATGGCACAACTTGCAGATTCAGTTATGGGATTACTTCGATTAAACGAGGAAGGAAGTTCAAAATTTCTCCAAATGAATCATTCAGTATTTTTCAGGAATATGGCTCAAGAATTTTTAAAACAATTCCAGTAAACGAACAGAGGTAATCAACAAGTGTTGGATGGCAATATGACCCTAGTACCTTGATCAAAAAAAAAGATACAGTTAATAAAAAGTGTCCTCGGTTTGTCGAAACTCCAAAAAATTTTTGTGCCTATTCAGAGCAACAAAGGCGACAGTGTAATTGGTATGTCGCACAAGAGAAGATAATACCATTTGACAAGCGCCAGGAAAAGCCATTAAAATATTATGAGTTAAAGCCAACAGACGAGTTTACTGCACTTACATTCAATGAATATACGTCTTTAATTGATGAGAGCACACCTTTTACAATGACCTGTAAGTGTGTTCATTAAATATTTTTGACAACATCTGTAAATGATTAATATTTCGTTAATTTTAATTCTATTATTTTACAGGAGATTATTTTGAAGAAATTTATCCATTGATTATATAATATTTATAGTAAGTTTAGTAGTCGGTATTAATAATATTCAAATTGATAAGAA